AGGAATGCCCATCACCCAACATGCTGGGAAGTCTGCACGTGACCGTGGGGTTCTTTGTAGGACCTGGATGCAGGAGGGACGCCCCCATTCCCCGTGGTTTCCATGGACGCGCGCTGTGGCTCAGGCCCTCACAGTTATCTGAAGGTCCAGTGGCTCAAGTACTGGCGGGCCCCAGGGTTCTACTTGCGCCCAGTCCTCCGTGACAATGATGCCAGCGGCTCCCACCCCGCGCCTTCCCCAAGCCCTCCCTGTGGTTCAACCTGGGCTGTTTTCCAAACAGAAAGACCCAGGGCTGGATCTGGAAGCTGGCTCCACAAAGAGGTCAAGGGGGCCCGGCGAGCACCTGGCTGCCCCCACCCTCTGCGGGCTCCACTCAGGCCTGTAAGGCTTGGAGCCTTGCTCAGGGTGTCAGGGGAGCTGGTGGGACCACAGGGGCCACAGGACCTGCAGTGTGTGTGGGATCAGAGAGATGGAAACCAGGAAGGGCCTCTGTTACCTCCCACGGAATATTTCAGAAGAGTCAGGGACAAGGCAGGGGTCTAATCCTGGCTCCATACCACCTGGAAAACCTTGGTTTTTTTCTTTCCCATTTTGGTCTTAAAAGCCTCCTTTCCTTGGAGAAAATGCTGCCTTGCGTGCACCTGACAGCCCTGTGGGCTCACTCGGCCCCTCCCTCTGGGCCAAGGGGAGGAGACTGGCCTGCGGACCACCTCAGAGGCAGCACTGACCCTGGGAGGGCCTGGTGGGGTGGCACGGGGGCGTCACCTGTAGATCATGCCCGGGGAGCCGGTCTGCCGCAGGGATAGCCGAGCCGGGGACCCCGTGGTCGATTCCGGATACATGGAGCTGGCCTCACTCGTCCCGACCCACTCCCTTCTTCAAGGAGGGAAGATCCTGGAGGGAGAGCAAAGAAGGAGGGGAGGCGGTTAAAAGAAGACCAATCAGTGTGGCCAGGATGCTCTGTGATCCCGAAGGCCTGGTTCCTTGGGCATCTGCATGTTCCTCATCAGACAGACAGACAGGCCCACAGGGGCTCGGGTGAGGCTGATGGTCAGGTCCGTGACTGTGACGGATTTCTACCCCTTCTTTCCAAGCCCCCACTCCGCTCCTCCCTGACTGCTTTTCTGAGGTTCTGGGAGCACTTTCTCGTTGCCCAAACTATGCAGAAATGGTGGTTGCAGAGGGAGTCTGTGGACTTGGGAATCTGGGCTGTCTTCCCCAGGCCAGGAAGTGGTACCACGGTCACCCAGGGTCATCCTGGATGACCTCACCTCCCTGACCCCTGACTCCTGCCCTGAGGCACCCCCGGGCAAGTGAGGGACACGGACGGGAAACCAGGACCACAGAGGGGAGGGTGCACAGAGTGCCAGGCCTTGTGCGCTAGGAGCAGAGCCGTCCCCAAGGCCAGTCCAGATGCTGGTCCAGAGGCCCCGGGGAAGGCAGGGTGCGTGATGTCCTCACACAGGCTAATGGGATGGGCAACAGGCAGCCAAGGGCAGGCCGGGATGCACGTGCCCTTTCCTGGGGGTGCGGCCCACCCCCACCCCTCGCCCTCCTCTCTGGTTTTCCCTGGGCCCAGCTGCTCTGTGGTGACACCTCAACCCCCAGCTTGGGCACTTAGGGATGCTTAATGTCCAGAATTCCGAATCACAGACTTAATCTGCCTGAGTCCCCAGGTGACGCCCGTGTTGCTTGTCCAGGGGACACACTTTGAGGACCCTTGGCCTAAAGCCGAGCTCCGGGACTAGAAGTTGGCAAACTACTGCCAGCAGGCCAAAATTTTCTGTAAATAAGGTTTTATTGGAGGTTTTACCTCCATGCCCATTTGTTTATGAATTGCCCACTTGTGCTACCATGATGCGGTGGGTCGTTGCAATGGAGACCGTCTGGCCGGCAAAGCCTAAAATATTTACTACCTGTCCCTTTAAAGGAAAAGTCGGCCGACCCCTGTTCTAGGCCATTCTCTCCCCCACTCTCCAAGATGACACGACCCAGCACCTCTCTCCTGAAATCATGAACACTGCCTTTCCCGTGTTACCCGTAGCTCTCGACTTGATGCTTTCTGTTTCACGAGCATCAGACCCATCCCCCAGCGTCAGCACAAGGAACATTCTGCTTCCCTCCCGTTGCTACCCGGGTGACCTGGCCACACCCACGGCACCCACACCCTCTGCCTCGCCCCTCAAGGGCATCCTGCAACAGGACTCCTGCCACCAGTCCTTCCTTCATGTGGCAGAACCATCTGCACACAATCAATTACCTACTTCCTCTATCTCGGGACTTCCCTGGCGGCCCAGTGGTTAAGACTCCGCACTTCCACTGCAGGGGCACAGGTTCGATCCCTGGTCAGGGAACTAAGATCCTGCGTGCCACGCGGTGCGGCCAAACCCCCCCCAAAAACGACTTCTCCAGATGGAAGGAAAGATGGCGGAGGAGAAGGGCGTGCGCTCACTCC